TGAGGGGGGGTGGCTCGGGGCCAGCCCTGCCCACCACAGCACTTGCCTGTCTCCAGCGTGGCTCAGCCGGTCCCAGTCGGGTCCCCAGGTCACAGACCTGGGTCGTCCACTCCGCCGGTCCTCGAAGCAGACCTAAGAGCACAGGGAGCCTGAGAGAGAGCCAGGAGAAAAATGAGAGCGCGAGCCTCCCTTCTCCTTCCCTTGGCTCAGCCAGGGCTAGCAGTGCCCTCTCTGCCCAGTCCTGGTTTTGTGCCAGCAGCAGCCACCCCACGGCACTGCAGTCCCCCTACCCAGGGCAGGCAGGGACTCCAAGGTCCCCCGTGCACAGGGCCCCTCACCCTGTTGCTGCTGCAGCTGCAGCCCAGTCAAGCTGTTTGCTGCTGCCCCAGACCTACATTGGCTTGTTCAGTGTCACCTTACGGGTGCCACGCACCACCCGTGCAGCCCTGGCTGTGCCTGCACCGTGCTCTCCACCCGGGCACTCACCATCTCCCGCACCCCGTACTGGCTCTCCACCTTGGCCCGCAGCTGCATGAAGCACTGCTCCATGCGCTCGTGGAAGGGCCGCAGGTCCTCTGTCACCTTCCGCCGGTGGATCCGGATCCCCTCTGCCAGCAGCGGGGTCTGCGGGAGAACAGGGACAGATCCACCTGCGACTGTAGGACCCCTCCCGGGATGGGGACGCTGGGTGCTGGGCACACCAGGGCAGCCGTCCCCTCCAGCCGCCAGAGGGGTGCTGCAGGCTGTACCTGCCAGGCGATCAGGTCCTTCAGCTTCTCAATGTTTCCCTCGTCCTTGGGGTGCTCCTGCAGGTAGGACTCCTGGAAAAAGGCCTGCAACGACCCCCTCTCAGTCTCACTGACGGGCTGGCTTGGCCCCACGCAGCAGGGACTGGTGCAAAGTGGTGCTGGTGCCTGTGGTTGCAAGCCTCAAGAGCACCCACACCAGCCCCAGCACAGCACCTGCGTGTCCTCACCGTCTCGTATTTGGCGAAGCCACCCATGACAGCAGGGTCCACAATGCCATTGAGCAGCATGGAGAGTGGGTTGACAGGAAGGCTGGGGTCATTCTGGTGTCGGTTGATCTCGCTCATAATTTTCTCATTTGTTTTCATCATGGTCTCGATGGCGTTTTCCAGGGGGGAGATGATGGTCTGTGCCCAGGGAGGGAGGGAAGGTCAGCAGCTGGCTGACCCAGAGACCTGCCTGTCCTGGTGTGGGCTGGCAGGGCTGTCCACCTGCCAGCCCTGCAGGAGAGAGGTCCCAGCGTTGTCCATCTCACCCCATGGAGCCCCTTGGACCCCTGGCACCGACTGCCTGGGGCTGAGCTGAGGGCTCACAGTGGAAGTGCTGGTCCCCAGCTCTAAACACTGGCTATCAGCAGCGTTCGTCCCGCAGGCGAGAGGCCGGGTGGTGGATGCGGCAGCTCCGTGGTGAGCTTATGGGAAGCCCGGGTAGATGTCATTGTCACTGGGGGGCAGCTGAGCAACAGCAGCGTGCACAGCCCGAGCGCTGCAGCCAACACGTGTGCATGGCAGCACTCATACAGCAGCCCCGCTGGGCATTTCACACATCTTCATCGCTGCAGCACCTGAAACCCCCTGGACTTTGGCCAAACACTGCCCTCTGACAGGCGTAAAACCCACGCGCGGAGCTGTTGTCAGCAGCCCCAGCAGCAGCAGTGGTCTGCA